TGTTGCAATCCAAATACCCCTTCAAAGGGTGTCAGAATTGAAGTCCCTATCAGATCTGGGTGTATTTATTTATCAGAACGTTTTCTTGCAATGATAAGAAAGGACATCTTGCCCTTTCAGGAGACAGAATAACTAAAATAACAGAAAAAATAGAGGTCACAATGGAGACATGCTTCCATCCCTTCCCAAGAGGTACCGTACACAAGAATGCCATCAGACAAGAGGCACAAAGAGGCTAGTCCAAACACACAAGGAATTTAGGAAGGTCTAGTACTTGTATAACTTCATTAAGAAAGATGGTGACCACCTTTGTGGATGCACAGACATACAGGTAAAGCTGTGAACCCCAAATACTCATGTTGAATGTGCAGAAAAAAGTGATCTTCTCATTTCAGAATGTGCCTGGCTGCTCAATATCTCCCACAGGAAGAGTGGAAATAGTCATTTGCAGCTCTTGTAAGATTAAAAAAAGAAGAAAAGAAAATACAACAAGCAAACTCTCCCCAGTGACAACAACTCTGTCCACATCCAGGATAGGAACAGTGAAGAGGAAACATCAGGACACTCCCTTCACTCCTGCTCTCCTTGTAAATTCTCATTTCTGGAGCAGCTGGGTTGATAACGAGGGAGTATTACACGTCCAGTGATTGCCAGATGACCGAGTATCAAGTGAAGGTAAGGGTCACTAGAAGACAAGGAGCCCTTCTGTTAGTTGTCCCTCTTCCCAAGACATGACTGACGACCTAGTCAACTTCTTGCAAATGATTCCTAGGGGATCTCTCTTGATATGGTCAGAAAATCTATTATTTTTTATAGAAAAATTCATTTTTAATGCAATTGACATTAAGATGTTTGCACATGCATTTCTAATCTCTATATATCTGATTATTACTAGTCACAGTCGGTCAGTTTCTGAGCTCCTTGGCATCTGAGCATGGATATAAAGTCATCAGGTAGATTTCAAGAAAAGCTATTTTTATTACAGAAGAATTTATTATGGATGCTAATGAATATTTTGACCCATGCCCTTCATATGCCACCAGTACTGTGGGGGCAACTAATGGAGAAATGATCATAATGGCAGTCCTGCACAATTCCCAAAGGACTTCCCCAAACATTCCATTAATCACTACTCTACCAACTGGCAGAAATACTACTTCGGCAGTGTTCTTCCCCCAAGTCCCTCTAAAAGCAAGTCTTCTTTCCACCAACTCAAGGTAGTAAGGGAAAAGCTGACATCCATGAAAGAACTGCCCCTCAGAGAGTTGCAAAAGTATAAATTATAAATAGCAATGTTTGTACACTGTTTTTATATCATCAAATCACTGTGTTTATATGTCACAAGTTAAAAGTCTTCTCAATTCCCTTTTCAATGTCTGTTTGTGGCATGACACTGTTCCTGCCAATGAGCCCTACCATCTTCAATACCACCACCACCACCACGCACAGCACCGTTTCTCCTAAAGAGGTAGCTTTAGAACTTTCTGTTGTTTGGTTTTACTTTTATAACTTCATAAAAATTTTAAAGAAAAGTGGTAAAAATAACATTTGGCCTGAGGGATGGATTCCCGGTATTAAAATATGGAATTATCAAATGGATTATCAAAGGCCCATGAGCATACAGCAGACCGTGCATGGGAATTACATTATGCAGCGAAATAACAAATCATTTATGGGTCATCCTCTAAAGACTGTGAGTAAACACAATACTAAAGTGCTTACAGTACTTAAGTACAGAGTACTTAGAGACTTCTAGTTTACAAATAAACAATTGACATGTAGAACTGAAAATGTCATGTCCACTTGTTCAAGTCTGGCCCTTGCAATAACTTTGTGTAACTGAAAGATAAAGTGTTCCCATTAAATGGAAGAGGAAACCACAGGTTAAATAAAGTTCACTGAGGTGAAAATTTGTTCTCTATCCAGAGAAATATACATTATGAGTTTTCTCAAGGAGGTACAGTATATGCCTCTAACATACACCAAGCATGTACCCTCAACATAAGTGGTTAAGACAACCTTGGATTCTGTATTTAGGGGGAAAAAAGACTGTATGAAAAATGCTCTGCCTCTGTGACTCCAATGACACCTAAAAGAATAATCACTGCAATTACACATCAGAAGAGGAGAAGTGATAATTGTAAAAATGAAACACCCAGCTATCACTTGGCTAGCTGTCACGGCCACTAACTTTTACATTTCCCCATGGGGGCATACATTAAAGCGCAGGGTGGAGGAGAAAGGAAATAAGGTTATCAGGACCTAGGGATTTATTCTTTCTGATATACAAAAGAAGGGGGTGGAGGGGCAGCAGCTGGAGCATCCTCCTCTAGCTCTTTGCAAAATATAGGCAAATGCTGCCCTCCGTGTGCTTCATTCCCATCAGAAACGATGGTGTGGCTAATGCTGTGCTTTCTTCTTCCTTGGTCAACTGCCTCACCATCTCAGATTTTTTTTCCAAAAACAGCAGTGGGAATTTTTTTCCTTTCCTTGAACCGTGTCATTCTGAGAAATTGGTTCATCTCACCTGAGCAAAGGTATACTATACAGCTAGAGTATCAGAGAAACAAATACTCCCCTTTTCTGTCTTAGTCTATTGAAAAATATTAATAGTTCAAAACATAGACCAAATAATAGCTATAATAAGAACTACGGATGAAATAGCATTTGGTCTGCAAGAGGCAAAAAAAAATATTAAGAACAGACAAGGGGTTGAGTCTACAGCAACTCCTTTTTCTCTCCTGTAAAGTGAACTGTGTGCAATAAAACACTGTGGATTTCCACAGTATGTGTAGCAATCATCATTTTTAATTCTACACAGAGTTTTGTGGATGCAGAGGGGAGCTATTACTTGCAGAATTGTGAATGTGATTATATGTGTCCACAGTACTTGTTACCACCAGCCTCAACATGCATATAACAACCCTATGCTGTGGAAGGCATAAATCACAAACCCATGACTTTTGAAGAGAAACTGAAATGTTTAAAATGAGTCATGAGTAGGTATTACTTTCCAATACTTTGTTTTTCTTTTCTTTTTTAATTAAGCATATGATTTACTGTGTTATATATGTTTGTCTAGACTTTCTCCTTTCTATTCATTTTTCTATTATCTCTACAGAAATGAAGCAAAATTGAAGAAACATCTTCACACAACTTCAGGGTAGTGAATAAGGCAAATTAACACTGAATTTGCTTTAACCATGGTAAAAACAAACTGCATGAAGGAAGGAACATCAGTTAGTAAAAATACTTTCTGATTAGGAGGAAGGCTAGTTTCCTGCTTGAAACACGAATTCACTTATAGAAAAGTATGACAAAGGTATGACAAAGTATGTCTCATAGTGATAGTCCTGAGGGATTTATCAGAGAGGGCATGAGGAAAAACTATACTGAAATGAGTTTGGGAAGTACTGACTGCATGTTGGCAAGTTTCTTCATTTCAAGTTCTTCCAGAGCCTTCACTAGCCTAAGAATCACAAGTCAGGGACAGAGAAGTGATAGCTGTGACTTAAATTTATTTGATCATAGACTTGCCAATGAAAAGAAAGGCATTTGGAGGAACTACTGCTCAGCGCAGTACATTTGGGAAAGAGTACTTTGTAGGATCGGTTCATAATACATGTACTTTTCCAAAATGAGGAGAGCTTAATACATCCCTAAGAGGACTTGATCATGAACCTTTTCTAGATCAAAGATTTACAAAGTTAATGTGCACAAGAGTCACCAAGGAATCAGTATGTATTCCAATTGCATAAACCTCAATAAGGGCCTGGGGTCCTGTACTTCTGGAAAGTTCCCAGGTACTGCTAATGCTGCTAATCTAACAACTGTATTTTAAGGATATTTCTTAAAGATCTTTTTAATACATGTTTAAGCACAGGGGTTAAAAAAAGAGAGGTGTCCAGAAGAAAGCAAGACAAACCCCAGAGCATGGTGTGGGCTTCTCAAAGAGTCACAGAAACTAAGATGTCCCAAATATGGATATTGGTTCCTCAAGGGAGAGTCCATCAATTACCCTTTCAGAGACTCTCAAGTTACATCTCAAAAGATTGCTATGAAACTTTAAGAGCATAAATTTCTCTCTTGGTAAGTGGGATTATAGGGCATTTCTGGGGATGTCTTGTATAGAATTATAATCTTATGCAATAAAACCCTTGGGGCTGGAGAGATGGCTTAGGAGTTAAAAACACTGACTGTTCTTGCAGAAGACCCGGGTTCAAACTCCAGCACCCACATGGCAGCTAACAACTGTCCATAACTCCAGTCCCAGGGGATCCAACAGCCTCTTCTGACCTCCGCGGACATAACATGGGTGTACCTACCTACATGCAGGCAATACATGTATATACATAAAAATAATCAATAAAAAATATTTTTAAAACACCAGAAGCCACTAGAGTCACACAAGGGGTTACTACATGACCTATTCCTGCAAATGGGCTTTCTGGTGCAATGTTTAGAACATTTTAGGTTTATAACTGGGAAGAGAGAAAGGCCTTAAGCAGTAAGTGATTGTGCTCGTTTTTCTTTTTTAATTATCTTTTTTATTGACATTTTACGAAGTTTATAGAATATATTTTGATCATATTTAGATCTCTGCCCCCTCTATCTGCCCCCTCATTACTATCCACTGTCAGATCCCAATTTCACGTACTCCAAATACTAGAGTATACTAGAATATACATATACTAGAGTTCATGAAATTGGGATTGGGGAAACAATTATATTAATACATATTAATTGGGCCTATAGTGTCAATTTTGTGTCCCCAAATGTTGTTTGGTATAGGTCCATCCCCTGGAGGCTGGTTTTTAAGCCACACCCTTAAAAGAGATTGATTCTCCCCTCCCTGCAGCAATCTGTTTTTGAGTAGCAAAGAACTAAAAAAGCATTTGTCCTCAAGAGCAAGAGTTCCCAGAACTGTCCAGGCTGCTCTGCTGTGTGTTAATTTTTTTTCCCTTTATCCAAAAGGTCATGAGTGTGCAAAAGGTGCTTACCAGTAAAACCTGTTGGGGGTGATGCGTTCATGCATGAGTTGCCATCGTCTTCCAAAGTCCATGGAACTGTAAAGCTGCAAAACAGTGAAATGAGAGGGTAAGTTTCAGGGCCACAAGGCAATGTGAGCGCAGGCACCTTCCCCTGCCCCATGCCAGCTTCAGACTGCTAGCACATCCACGTAGATACACAATTTTCTCAAATAGACAAGAATGTGACTGTGCCTTGCTTATGGTGCCATCCTGACCAAGGAGGTGTTCAACTGACTGATGCTTTCAGTCTGAGTGTAAATATATGTCTGATGGGCATCATTGTCTCCTCTGGGGCTAAAACACTTAAAGCAATTCAGCAAAATTTGCTTACAAACTATTAACCACTCTTACATGCAAGACTCATCCTGAAGAATGTGAAGACAAGGAAGAAACAGAATCTACACTCCCAGGAAAAGGGGATAAGGACATAGAAAATGCTCATCAGTGGGCATCTAAACCAATACTAAATGCAAAATGGACTCTGGCTTCTTTGTTCACTACTTTGATATATTATTGGTAGCATGAAACAGAACTCTTCAATGCCACCAGAAATAGCAGGTTGATTTATGGTCTCATAAAAAAATAGTCCCCTTACACGTCTAAGAAAAACATCCTCATCCAGGCAAGGCAACACAGATGTGGTCTCTCCTCCACAAAAAAGTATTTTGTAACCATTTAAGTCTACATGTTTCTTTTCTTTTTCATCTTTTGTTTTTAGTTGGAATTTACCATGAATTAATAAGATTATATCTTTCAGATTTGCCTATTATTTAGTATATATATATATATATATATATGTATGTATACACAGGAAAAGTCTGTGAAGTATCTGCTGTACAAATCAATAATTAACACAGGCAGGTCAAAATATGCAGCAATTTGTGAAATTAAAACAAAAATCTAGATGATCTCCAGGGATTTAGAAAAATAAAAAAGAATCTCAGGCATGACTAGTGGAGTCAGCTCTGTATTTGCGTATTTTATGAGCATAATCTCATTCCTTTGTAACACATTATGAATGGGCCCACAACCAGTTAAGAGATTAACCAGGAGTCACTTTCGATTAAGTGAGTGAATTAAAATGCAGTATCTGACTCTAAATGACAGTGAATAATGATAGTAATCATACTAATAATTCTACCAAGTCGTGTTTTCAAATATTTCAAATATATTGGACCCTTAAAGCTAAGGAGAGTAGGGTAGTAGTTATCAGCTTCAGGCCCTGCTACAACCATTCAGTGATCTATCCAGGAACCAGCCAGTCATTCTACTCAGATGCCACTACTGTATTTGCTATCTGCCTTGGGCTATTACTGGTTGGCATGCTTCTCCTTCTGCAAGGCTGTATGTCACAAGAATGGCAAGGTTCATATGCTTTGTTCACCTCTGTGTGTGTTAGTGGTTATAGGATGTTGGGCACTTAGCAAGTGAGCCCACACTAACCCTATTTCCTGATACTCAATCTTAGAGAAGTTATATTTGGGTTCAAAGGATCCAGGACTCGAGTTTTCTAATTATCAGCACAAGCCCCCTTCTGTGGATTTGGTACCTAGTCTGTCATCATAATTATACTATGCTTAGGGATGGGATCTTAAAATTTTATAGGTAGAGAAATCAGAGGAAGCCAGGAGATGGCCCTTAATATACAGAAATAGGAGCAGGTGAAGTACATTCCTGAAGGAGCATCCCTGTGCTCTCACCTATAGGGCTGCTGTCACTAGCACACCAGAGTCAGCACATATGGCCATGTTCTAAATTCATAATCTGACAACACTTAGGATAATCTGAAAATCTTCATGGCATTCAGAAAATTCTGGGCCCATTTTAGTTTCATCCAGCTAATATTTATTGAACAGTAGGATTCATGAAAAAATACATTTTGTCTAGTGATAGAAATATGACAGACATATAGTTGCTTATATAAAGTTGGTTATATGTGCATATAGATTGATAGTATATGGGTTTGTTTGGCTTCTCAAAATAGCTTATGAGATATTTGTGGATATATGTTATAATTTCAATTTTATAACTGAAGGGAATCGATATTTGATGCTCCAAGGTGGCTTTAGCAAGTATTTGAAAAGCCAGGATGTCAGACCTGACATAGCAGATCTCAAGTTTCTACCCCATATCAGCTCAATACCAATTCTCATGGTATTTACACAAACTGAGCTCTCACCACAAATGTAAGAACTAATTCTTGTATGTGTCCAATTCTGTATATGGGGACCAGCAAAACTATTCCCCATTGTCTCCTCTTTTCTCCTCACATACCAGCTTAGTGAGTAGCTCATCACTGACTCTAAAACCATTAAATTGCTTAGCACTAAGACCACACCATGCTTTTTAACAAAAAATGATTATTTGCATTATATATTGATGAGGTACAACATGATATATTTATATATGTTTAGGTTTTGAAATGATCAAATTATGCTCAATAAATCCATCATATCACATAACTGACATTTTGTAGTGAAAGAAATAAAAATCTATTTGTGTAGAAATGCTGAAATGTAGAATGTGTTTATTACAGCCTTCATTTTGAGAAAGACCACTAGAACCTATTTTTCCTGTGCAGGTAAAATTTTGTTCCCTTTGAACAGATTCCCTCACCCTACCTCCTGGTCTTTAGGGACCATGTACTATAAAAACTTCCCCTTTTTAAGACTCTCTGTATAGAGATGTGAGATGATGTACCACTTTTCTTCCTATTCTTCACATCCAGTCCTTTAGGAAACAAAACGGTGACATGTCCGATAAAAAATATGATATACAGGTACACCATAGGAAACAGGGCCTGGAATATTTTATGAAATGCATATATATGCATATATAAAGAGAAATAGACCTAAATATTGACAGAAGTAGAAATGGAACAGTAAGGCCTCATGAAGAATTATGTCTTCAATTAGTCCTTCAGAGACAGCTAGTGTAGGTAGGAGAAAAGATGGACAGGTATTTACGGGTTAACAATAAGAGCAAAGGTTCCAAAATGACCAGTGTCTAGAACTTGGCTTATGGAAGAGCTTTTAGGATAAAGGATGGAAATAATGACTATTGTTCGCTTTAAGAAGGTAGAGAATGTCTGTCTGTCTGTTCACCTATCTGCTGATCTCTCTGTCCATCCACGTACCTCTATTTCTAGATGCTTCTGTGTAATATCTGCATTTATATTGGAGATAAGAAGGAGAGGACCAGTTCTTTCCATTAGGAAGAAGGGATCAATCTATTTTATTGTAAAAACTGAATTTTCTAAGTAGGGATTTAAGAAAAAGCTCACTTTCCTTCCCATGGTAGGTGTCTGAAGGACATGTGCTCAGACTGAAGATGCATGTTTCTCAGTTAAATGGGAAGCTTTGAATCTTCTACAACACAAAACTCATTCTTTGACAGGCTTGATTCTAGTCACAGCAAAATCAGTCCTCAAATTCCTTTAAATAAACCCAGTATGATTGCCTCTTTCTCTGCCAAAAACTCTAGAGATAAGACAGGCACCCAGGAGGTGCACACGGGCACTGCTGGAGTCTGTCTTTCAGTAAATTACCAGTCCTAGCGTCATGGAAGATCCTGTTGGAGGGAGAGCAGAGCGTTTCCTGCGGCACACTCTTGGGAGACGCGGGACACCCCCATCGCACACCCTTCCTAACACAGCAGGAATGAACAGTGCTGATCACTTCCCTAGTCTCTGGTTTTGCTTTTTCAGCTCTTCAGTTTGACTGATGGGGAAAAAATTAAATTGAATTCTCTGCCTAGGGGCAGATTCAGATGAACAGGAAGAATAGGCTCCAATTCATTAAGGGCCTGGACTTAGCTACCTTGTCTCTCAAACTATAGTAAGTTGCTGAGTCTGAAATGCATTTTTGTTCAACCATGAGCTAGATTTTTGCAGACTCTTCATTCAAAGAGTTGTTCTTCCTTTTCATTTAATCATTCATACACTTCTTCATTCACAGAGCACATGCTCAACAACCAGCATGCTATAGGCACTGAACCTAGATCTGGGGTGACAAAGATGAAAATCACGACGATGGTCAGTGGGAGATAAAATTGCACTACCATGAAATGTACGCCATCTTAAACTCTGAAAGACTGTGGGAAACTGACATTTTATTCTTTGAGCCATCTATATTAAATCATTATTATTATTATTATTTTGGTGTTTTGGTACAGGATCTCAATGTGTAGCCTCAACTGGCCTGGAACTCACTATTTAGACCATCCCAGGTTGGCCCCGATCTCAAAGCAATCTGCCTGTCTATGCCTTCTGAGTGCTGGGATTAAAAGCACATGCCACCACACCCAGCCCAGCAAACAAATTATTATTAACATATATGACTTTTAAAATTAAAACTGCAACATTCAAAAGGAGATCAAACAATGAAAATGTACAAGGAAGTTTTAGAGAATTATTAGTGATATGAAAATATTCAAACACAAAAGATATATTTAGAGATGTCTATTTTATTTAACCATTAAAGGCTTGAAACATAGTAGAAGAAAATAGGCCAAAATACTAGCAGTGGCTATCTCTAAATTACAGGATTGTGGCTAATGTAAACATATTTTTAAAATTTCCATTATTTTCAGTTGTTATTCTTAAAGTAGTTGTGTATTACATTTCAGTAATACTGTAAGTCTACATTTTATGCATCTTATATTTTAAAATAATAAGCTTTTTTATTAAAAGGTACATATTACTATGTTTATCTTTTCTTAAAAGGCCAAGGATTAAAACTTCAGGTTTTCACAAGTTAGCTAGAATTAGATACAATAATATGATATTTTCCACAGAATCATATTTCACATATTATCATGCACGATGGTGAATTCTCCCTTGGACAGGCACTGCAGTGGCTCACATGCTGTTTATGCAGCCATACATGCTTACAACTCAATGTGCTTTATGTGACATCAAAATAAATGTGTTTTTCGAATAATGAACATCCCTAAAACAGTCCTTGTTTGCAAAGTTACATATGTGAGACCATGTTCTGCCCTGTGTCCTACCTCATGAGACCCCAATCTCCTGTCAAAGACATCA